AAAAAGAAATGGCAAAATAATATGTTCGGGTAAAGAGAGTTGGCAAATGCTTACAAGCACACTAGGGCAGTTGCCACGTACCCTGCAAAACAAATGGCAACTGACAGCTTTGGGTGTGGGAGAGAAGACGGGCATGTGGGCGAACTGATAAACGCCCACACACCAGCCCCTCTCCGTGCATGAAAACTGGCATGTGGGCGAACTGCTAAACGCCCACACACCAGCCCCTCTGCATGGTAAAACGGACGCGTGGGCGATCGGATGAATGCCCACACACCAGCCCAGTCCTACATGGCATAAAAAATCTGGCAAAACATGCCAAATTCGTGCAAACACAAACAGACGTTAATCCATGTGTGTGGGTAAATCTGGACGTGCAGCTCAAGCTTTTAGGCTCAGCTCGCGCTCACTGCGACTCGGCCCAAGCCAGGCTCGGCTCGAGAAGTAAAAAGGCCGAGCCGAGCTGGGCTCGACTCGGTCCAACTCGCGAGCTAAAAGCTCGCAGCCCAGCAAAGCCCAACAAGCAAAATGCGCCTTAGTCTAGCCCACCTAGGCTGCTGAAATGACTACAGAGAGACAAAATCGGTTTACAAAAATTGTTCTATGTCTTGATAAAAGTTTAAGAAAATACGGATAACGGTTATGTGGATGAGTACCACAACCATTCTAACCATTCAACTACTAGTTGGTTTCAATACCTTATTTTTTTAGAGTTATCAATAACATATTATTGTGTTTGGCAGTATGATGTGTGTTAGTTAATTGTCAATAAAAAAAGATGTGCGTCAGCTAAGACAATTTTTAAAGCCCGTGGCAATGCGCGGGCATTCTATTAGTGGTTATTAAGTTATGAGCAGAGTTATTATCTATAAGGATTCATTGCATGAAAAAAAACTTTTTTTCTATGAGATAACGAATTCATCCAACATCTAATCTACTACTCCCTATGTAAAGATATATAAAAGTGTTTAGATCACAATTTATGATCTAAACGCTTTTATATTTCTTTTTACGGAGGGAGTAGATGCAAGCAACTATTCAAGCTAATCTAACAAATCGGTCAGAGGTGTTCCAAATACGCTAACCTGAAAGATGTGGCCTAGAACCCATCCAGGTCAGGCTGGTAGCGTTAACGAACCCACGCGTTTGTTTTCACATTTCCAGGGTTTTCTAACATTCCTCGTAGCCACGCAAGCTGGCGCGGCGACGTAATTAACGTGTCTCACTATCCTGTCTGTGGCCAATAGGGCAAGATGCCTAAGTCTAGGTATGACGTGTCACTTCCATTTGCTTGCTTTTGTTAGTACTAGCAAGATGTCTGTGCATTGCACGGAACATCAAGATGCATTTTTTTTAATAAAACATATGTTGTGATTGACCCATGTGGGAGTAATTCTATGTATAAAAACTAATGATATCTCGAGAAAGAGGAGAGAAAATGTAAGGAGGAGTGAGACATGGTGGTGATTGGTGGTCGGACCGAGAGGAGGCATGGGGATGGGTGACGTCGGCAGCGGCCGCCATGCCAAATTGTTCCAGAGGCTTCCTTTTATAATTGTTCAACAATAAAGTTGTGGAAAAAATAAGGATGAACGAGGAATGACCTTATCTGCAAATGTTGAGAGATGTGCGGGCATCTTTTTGCAAATTTAGAGCAACTGCAATGGGGCGACCCAAACGGATGGCGCATTTGTCCGTTTTTGGTCCGTTTGGGTCGGCCGCCCGTCCAGCGTCCGCCCAGTTTTGCATTTGGGTCGGCAATGCGCCCAACGCGCCGACCCATTTCATGTCCGCATTCAACTTTTGAATTAAAAAAGACCCGCGGCCGATCATGCCAGCGGCCATATCTCATGCCGGCACCATGCCAGCACTGGCATACAATGCCGGCTTCAGAAAATACCACAGTTCCTGCTGGCGCACTCGCTCGCCAGCCGGCCGACACACATGCCAGCACGCAAAAAATGGTGGGACTTGGAGTTCGACCACGCCACCGCGGCTCCCGTGGTCATGCCCGCACACCTGCCGGCATACAAAAAGATGGCCCTCGACGCCATAGATCAGTTGTCCTGGAACTTGAGCATGTCGGCCTGCATCTTCTTGAACCACGGCCTTTTCCTTGGCGACAAGGCGTTGAGATCCACCTTCATGATCTCCACCCCGGTCATCATGCTTGCAAGAGCCACTTCTTTCGCCTTTGTCTGGCGTTGGCGGCCTCGATCTCTAGCATCTTGGCTTGCTTCTCGGCCTCGAGCTCGAACATCTTGGCTTGCTTCTCGGCGTCAAGGTCAAGCCTCCTCCTTTGGATCTCCATGAAAGCGCTTATTTGCTCTTCTTTGAAACGCCGGCGCTCCTCCTCCCTTGAGTCCTTCTTATTCATCATGTCTTCCACGCTTGCGATCAAGGCGTTGGTGGCCGCATCTCGCTTGTCCTCCTTCTTGGAGTTGGTCTTCCCCCGCGGCCGTGCCGGCTCGCCCTCCCCAACATCCTCCACGGCGCCCATCCCCCCACGTGACTTGAGCGCGGCATATTGTGCCTTGAACTTCTCTTCGTCCTTGATGACACGATAGCAATGGGAGAGGTTGAAGCACTTGCCATTGTGTTGAACCTTGAATGCCTCCAAAGCTTGAAATGCCTACAAAATGTTTCCATGCAAGCATATGGGCAAGTGATAGCAAATGAAGACGTAAAAAATGATCTTGATGGCACAAAAGAGGCCGACTTGCTTGCTATCATACCATGTCTTGCACGCCGATGCCGCTCACGGGGCGGGCCTTGACGCTCTCAAGGGTGGCACAAAACTTGTTGCCCTCTTGTTGGATTACCATCCACCGCTTCGAAATGGAGACCCACCCGCGCGTGCTCACAAATTGGTAGGGTGGAAACTTCTTGCGGTGCACACGAGTTCAAAAGGTTGAATGCTTTTGCTCGGTGCCCGTCTTTGGGTCTTGTCCAATGTCTCGCCAACACTCGCATAGAAGCTTGTCCTCGGCAGCTGTTTACGCCTTCGTGCGTTTGCTCTTGCGCTTCGGCTTCGGCCCGGCGGCTTGGTTGGCGAGCTCGTCCTCAAACAAAGACTCCACTTCGATGTCGCACTCGTCCTCTTCCTCTAGCCCATAGTCGTCCGGGAACTCGTGGTCGAGGGGGAAGCCGTCCAGGTCGATGCCGACCTGATCACGCATGAAGGCCACCTGATAGGGATCATAGCCAGCGGCCGGCGTGAACGCCACGCGGCCGGCCTGGCTTTGCGTCTCCTCAGGATCGTAGCCAGCGCCCGGCGCACCACCCTCGAAGATGAGGTGTTGCATGTAGTCCTCGTCGACGGCGGACGACATTTCCTCGAACAGGTTGCAGACGTCCGGGAAACCGCCGGCCGGCGTCTATCGCGCGCGTTTCCTCGCGCCGCCGGATGACGAGCCACCGACCACCGGGGCGGCGTTGAGGTCGATGGGCGCGGGCGCGGGTGTGGAAGGCGCGACCACGCTCACGTCGGGTGAGCACTCCCCGGAGAGGCGGGAGGTCTGCGGGTAGACGTGGAAGCCGGGGACCGGGTTGCAAGCCGATGCGCGGGGTGAGTCGGGCATCACCATCCGAGGAAATGCCGACGAGCCGGTGCTGGCCGCGGTGACGGCGGCTTGGACGAGGTGGTGCTGGCTAGGGTTTACCCCAAGCATGTAAAGCGCCTCCCTCGTTACAGCGGCGACGCGGGCGTTGGTGAACTCCTGTTGCGCGGCGGCGGCAGCGGCCTGCGCAACGGCCTCATCCCTCGCGTCCGCTGCGTGCCTCTGTCCCTTCCTCTTGTCCGACTCCCTTGGCCGATGTTCGGGCGTCAGCGCTTTCTTCGACTTGGTCGCCGCGGCGGTCTTGCGCGGGGCACGAGGCTTGCCTTTCCCGGAGGGGGCGACGGCGCCGAACGAGGCAAGGGAGGCGAGGTCGGCGGCGGCGTCGAGGTCGAGGTCGAGGTCGATGGCGTCCTCCATTGCTGGTTTGGGGGCGGGGGGACGCGCTCTGGCGGGAGTGTTTTTGGGAAAATGGGGGAAAATGGTTGTGGCTGGCACCGACAGGCGGGCCCGGGGAGAGGAGTAGGCGCGCGCGCGCGTCCGTCTCTTGTCCGCCCTGACGCAAATCCGGCTCAAAAATGGGCCTGGAATGGGTCGCCCGCAGACGAAAAACGGGCGCGCGTCCGTTTGGGTCGGCGCGTTGGGCCGCCACTTTTGTCCGCGTCGACCCAAACAGACGTGGGCGGACGAAATGGGTCGCCTCATTGAAGTTGCTCTTATCATAGATTGCTTTCTATCCGTCAGATATAGATCGAAGGGTATATCTTGTAAGATGACAGGCACACCATTATCATCAACTCGTTTTTTATAAGAGTAGAAATTATAAGATGACAAGTCACTACTAGTGGACATGTGGACACGGTACAGGTTTCCAGTTTCTTCCAGCGAATAGTGGTGGCAGTTGGCGTGTCGTTTTCGTGACCATAAGAGGCAAGCAGGCACAACTTTGATTGCACGATATAATACCTATCTATGTCAAGATCATCCATCGCTCACCCAGTGGACGCCGCTGAGTGTGAGGAAGCAGGTGGCTCTCTGGGCCTCCTTCAAAAAATCCTATGGCCAAGTGTGGTTGATGCCAGGATATTTCTTCCTCTTCTTGTGGCGACCATGGTGACAACACGGCAAGAATGAGTGAGATATTTCAGTGGCCAGTGCTGACTGTCCTTCAGAAAACGACCTTTGCCTGGGGGAGGACGTTTGCTAAAAATAGAAATGAGAGGTCCCTAAAAGATAAAATAAAAGAAAGGACGTTTGCTAAAAATAGAAAAAGAAGTGGCCAGTGCCTCGCGTGTGTCAGCGTGAGTGCATTTCCACCCGAGTGACGCGCCGGGTAGCCGCCGCGCTCTCGCCTATATATGCTTGCCCCGCCGCACTCCCATTCTCTCAGTAAAAACACCATCGCTCAACGTGCTCAACCATCTCCACTAGCTCTCGACTCAGATGGACGTCGCCGACGCTGCCTCCAAGTCCGGCCAGCATGAGCAGGGTCACAGGACGGTGTCGTCGGAGCCGCCGAAGCGGCCGGCGGGGCGGACCAAGTTCCACGAGACGCGCCACCCGCTGTACCGGGGCGTGCGGCGCCGTGGCCGGGTCGGGCAGTGGGTGTGCGAGGTGCGCGTGCCCGGGGTGAAGGGCTCCAGGCTCTGGCTCGGCACCTTCACCACCGCCGAGATGGCGGCGCGCGCGCACGACGCCGCGGTGCTCGCGCTCTCCGGCCGCGCCGCCTGCCTCAACTTCGCCGACTCCGCATGGCGGATGCTGCCCGTGCTTGCGGCCGAATCGTTCGGCTTCGGCAGCGCGCGGGAGATCAAGCTTGCCGTCGCCGTTGCCGTCGTTGCGTTCCAGCAGCAGCAGATTATTCTTCCAGTCGCGTGTCCAACGGTGGAGGCGGCCGCCAGCCCGAGCAACTCTCTGTTTTACATGTCGTCCGTCGACTTGCTGGAGCTCGACGAGGAGCAGTGGTTTGGCGGCATGGACGCTGGGTCGTACTACGAGAGCTTGGCGCAGGGGATGCTCATGGCGCCGCCGGACGACAGAGCGAGGCGGGAGGACGCCGAGCAGACCGGCGTCGAGACACCGACGCCGTTATGGAGCTATTTGTTTGACTAATTCAGCACGCAGTGTAAAGTTGTCGATAGTTGCGTTGTGTTCTTCCCAATTTGGGAACGAACAGAGTAGGCAGTTCTTTTTTTGAAGGTTGTAGTAGGCAGTTTGAAGTTCCCGGTTTCTACTTTTGTGAGAAATGGACCCTAGATTGCTTATCATTGTCATTCCTCAATTATTGGTACCGAACTCGAGTGTCTATCGTGCCGACACTCCACGAATCTCACTCAAATATTTTATGACGAAGAAAATCAAACACATCACCCCGAAAAAAAATATCAAACACATCAAACCCACCTATATGTCTGTCAAAACGTAACCCAATCGAGCTCCCAAAATCGAGCGTGGAAGTTCGGGCTAATAGGCACCCCTCAAGGCCAACACATATCTGGAACGGGTACTAGGAGGACCGGACGCACCCGGGCACATCCATAATGTCACATCCGGCCTAGCATGACCCACATAGACCTCACTTCATTCCCACTAAGAACCCCATATGGAGCAAACCTAAAAAAAACTTCACTCTCTGGCGCTTCCCCTCCACTCCTCGTCTGTTCCTCTCCCCCTCTCCATCCCAATGTTGAACGCCGACATGGTAGAGATGCGGGAACCGATGACTGGTGTGTGTTCGTCCTTGAGGCAGACGTGGTCGACGAGGAGGAGCTGGCCCTCCGCATCGTGCAACAACGCTCACGGGTCGACATTGTCATCTTGCATGATCGTCTATTTCCATGGTAAGACAGCTAGGATGATATTTCCATGGTTCGTCTATTTTTAATAGCTTTACTATGCTAGATCATTGCACACACGGGTACACTGCCATAGGCATTTATTAGATGGTCCATGGTTTCTATGCCATACTTATTGTTATTAAGTTACAAACACAATTATTGTATCTGTAGGGATTCGTTGCATGAAAAACAATTTTTTTCCTATAATATAACGAATTCACCCAAGATCTAATCTACTAGATGCTACCAACGAGTGGGAGAATGTCTGAACACCCTTGTAGACCGAGAGCAAAAATGTTCTAACGAACGTGGTTGGTGTAGTCGTACTTTCTTCATGATCCAATGCAATCAAGCACCGCACAAACGGCACCTCCGAGATATGCACGCATACGGCTCGGTGATGTCTCCGCTTCTTCTTGATCCGGCAAGCAAGAGGTAGAGGTAGATGGGATCTAGGACAGCAGCACGACGGTGTGGTGATGGAGTTACAGTCGAACTCTCGCAGGGCTTCGCCAATCTTTTGCGGAGAGCTGGGAGGAGTAGCAGGAGGGGAGCCACCTAGAGTTTTGGGATGGCCACTGCCCGCTGCGCCTCCCTCCCTTTATATAGGTGTGGGAGACTGGGAGGCTTGCCCTCCAATCTCTAGGACTGTCGCCCAATGGGGAGGGGCTTGGCCTCCAAGTCTCCCCCTTTCCTTATTTTGGGGCTAGGGTGTCCCCTATGGTTCATGGGCCAAGTGGGGATGTGGTGCCTGGCCCATGTAGGGCTAGTGTGCCACCCCCTTGGGTCCATGTGGACCCTTTGAGGTAGGTGGGCCCCAAGAACATTTCTACGAAACTTCGATACGATACCGAAAAATTCCCTAACCTTTTCGGGACCCTGACATCCACTTTCCTTATATGAAACTTTATCTCCAAACTATTCTGAAGCTCCTGATGATGTCCCGGTACCCATCCAGGACTCTGAACTATCTTCGGTCTCACCATTATGAGAATTCCATTACTACTGTAGCGTTACCAAACGTTAAGTGTGTGACCCTACGGGTTAGAGAACATGCGAACATGACCGAGACAGCTCCCCGATCAATAATCAATAGCGAGGCCTGAATGCCCATAGTGAATCCACATATTCAACGAAGATCTTTATCGTTTTGAACCACAATGTCGAGGATTGAAGCAATCCCGTATTCCATTCCCTTTGCCTCACAATATTTTATTTTCCTGAGATTCGACCATCGGCATCACCATATCTAGTCCAATCTCTTTACTGGCAAGTTCTCTTTATTTGTTTTGTAATACAATATCCCCGTGACCAAACACATTTTTCACATGCTTGCACGCTACTTAGGATGTTGTATTACTAAGAGGGCCTTGAGTTATCTCTCTGTGACATGGAGTGAAAATCCTAGTCTTAATACATGCAACCCAACTAGTACCTTCCAAGATACCAGAGAAACACATTTATGATCTCCCAATTACGAAGTGACATTTGATGCGCACAAAGCATTCTTCCAGTATTAGGGAGTGACACGATTTGATCGTCTAAGGAAGAGACACTTGACATTAAGAAAGCTATAGCAAATTAAAGTAAGTTACACGATCAGATGGTAAGCTTATGATTTGGTATGTCCATCACATCATTCTTCTAATGATGTCATCTTATTATTAAATGACAACTCATGTCTATTGTTAGTGAACCTTAACCATCTTTAATTGACGAGCTAGTCAAGTAGAGGCTCACTTGGGACACAATGTTTGTTTACGTATCCACACATGTATTTGAGTTTCTGGTTAATACAATTATAGCATGGAGAATAAACACTTATCAAGAACAAGAAAATATGATAATAAGAACCGTATTATTGCCTCTAGGGCATATTCCCAACAGTCTCCCACTTGCAGTACTAGAGTCAATAATCTAGTTTACATTGTTATGAATCTAACCCGCATGGAATTCTGGTGCCGATAATGTTTGCTCATGGAAGAGGCTTAGTCAACGGGTTTGCGACATTCAGATCCATATGAACTTTAAAAATCTCTATGTTTCCTTCCTTGATGTACTCATGGTTGGAGTTAAAGTGGCATTTGATATGCTTAGCTTTCTTGTGAAACCCTGGCTCCTTGGCAATGGCAATGGCACCGGTGTTGTCACAATAGATAGTCATGGGTTCTGATGCACTAGGAACCACACCTAGTTCAGATATGAACTCCTTCATCTAGACTCTTTCCCGCGCCACTTTTGAAGAAGTCGTATATTCCGCTTCAGTTGTTGATGCTGCTACAACGCTCTGCTTGGAGCTACTCTAGCTAACTGCTCCACCATTCAAAATAAATATGTATCCGGAATGAGACATTGACTCACCCGGATCAGTGTGATAGCTCGCATCTATGTAACCCTTTAAGGTGAACTCTTCATCACCTTCATTAGTTGTTAATCATTGTAATGCACTTAGCACCCCACTTTAGCACCAATGCATCTGAAGATGCCTTAGAGCCTAACATAAAGGTCAGAGGTGTCGTGAATAGAGATGATGGGGTCTACAATAATAGAAGGGTAGTGTTCGCTTGGGCATCTTTGGAGACCCTCAAAGCTCCAATATTTCTTTGGATTGTGGTGTCTTGACCACTTTTTTCATTTAATGAGGATCTCTATCGGTCTGTGGAGCGGTCTATATATCCTTTGTCACGCAAAACCGGAAGCAAACTTGTGGCTTCTTTGGGAATGTCCGGACATGCACTTGACCAGCAAACGGAACTACTGGAGGCACGATACTAAATGCCTGACGTTGAGATGACGGACAATCTGATGGGCGAACTTTGCTTTGTTATACGCATAGATGGTTGGATTTGCTACATCGTGCGAACATTGGCCGAATAGGATTGTGTGTATAGCAGCGCTTGATGTCGCTTGGAGCTACGTCGGTATTTCCCCAAAGAGGAAGGGATGATGCAGCACAACAGCGGTAGGTATTTCCCTCAGATATGAAACCAAGATTATCGAACCAGTAGGAGAACCAAGCAACACAACGTAAACAACCCCTGCACATAGATAACAAATTCTTGCAACCCGACGTGTAAAAGGGATTGTCAATCTCTTTCGAGTAGCGGCGCCCCAGATGGGCCAACAGACGTGAGATAAAATTGTAGTAGATTGATAGATCGAACGCCAAATAAAATAAATAATAATAAATTTCAGCAAGGTATTTTTGTATTTTTGCTTTAATAGATCTGAAAATAAATGCAAAGTAAAAGTAGATCGTAAAGGCAAATATATGAGAAAGAGACCCGGGGGCGGTAGGTTTCACTAGTGGCTTCTCTCGAGAAAAATAGCAAATGGTGGGTGAACAAATTACTGTTGGGAAATTGATAGAACTTCAAATAATCATGACGATATCCACGCAATGATCATTATATAGGAATCACATCCAAGATTAGTAGACCGACTCCTGCCTGCATCTACTACTATTTCTCCACACATTGACCGCTATCTAGCATGCATCTAGTGTATTAAGTTCATGGAGAAACGGAGTAATGCAATAAGAACGATGACATGATGTAGACAAGACCTATCTATGTAGAGATAGACCCCATCGTTTTATCCTTAGTAGCAATGATACATACGTGTCGATTCCCCTTCTGTCACTGGGATCAAGCACCGTAAGATCGAACCCACTACAAAGCACCTCTTCCCATTGCAAGATAAATAGATAAAGTTGGCCAAAAAAACCTAAATATCAGAGAAGAAATATGAGGCTATAAGCAATCATGCATATAAGAGATCAAAGAAACTCAAATAAATTTCATGGATATAAAAAGATAGATCTGATCATAAACTCAAAGTTCATCGATCCAAACAAACACACCGCAAAAGAGTTACATCATATGGATCTCGAAGAGAACATTGTATTGAGAATTCAGCAAGAGAGAGAAAGCCATCTAGCTACTAACTACGGACCCGAAGGTCTACAAAGAACTACTCACGCATCATCGGAGAGGCACCAATAGAGGTGGTGAACCCCATCCGAGATGGTGTCTAGATTGGATCTGGTGGTTCTGGACTCTGCGGCGGCTGGATCAACATTTCGTTGACTCCCCTAGGGTTTTTGGAATATTGGTGTATTTATAGAGCAAAGAGGCGGTCCGGGGGGCACCCAAGGTGGGCACAAACCACCAGGGCCTGTGCTCTCCTCGGAGCACCCCCAGGCGCAGCTAGGGCCCATTATGTTCCTTCTGGTCCAAAAAAATCTCCGTAAAGTTTTGTGGCGTTTGGACTATG